GCAGTAGCAGCAGCAGCAGCGCCAGCAGCAGCAACATCTTTGCGCGCGCACAACCACCTGCTCAACCTCTTGCTATCGTCCTGCCTCACCACCCTATAACCCGCCGAGTCGAGTATGCAGCTCAGACGGTCGTGCGTCATGTAGCGAGAGTTGCAGACGCAGGCGTTGGGAAGGACCAGGTAGAGGTAGCCTGTGGGAGTGAGGTAGTGATGCGCGTGAAGCAGCATCCGACCTGGCCCCCGCCCAGGAAGAAAGAACAAAGAGGAAACAAAACGAAAATCACGGTGAGACGTTTAGCGCTGGCAAGACAAATGCCTCTGGATTGAGGCAGGGAGGTGTGGGCGCATCGAATTTCGAAACCCGCTACTCACCCCTCTGTTCTAGATCGCCAACATAATTGACAACCAGACTGAGCGCTACCACATCGAACTTTCCTCTCCATCTCTTCACCCGCACATCTTGCCCTTCGCCTCGCCCCTCCACCGCCGCCGCCGCTTTGCTCCACACATCCTCCGCTTGTTGCCTGTCCAGATCAGGTTTTGCAAAGTCGAAGAAATCCGACTTGATGACCGCTTCGGAGCGAGGTTCGAGATCGATGGATGTGCTGTTTATCCACGGATATTTCAGGTACGCTGTACCTGCTATAGCCCCCACGTCTAGGAGATGCAGCTTTGCAAAGGGCGATAGAGGCGAGACGCAGACAAGAAGGGGGGGAAGGAGCAGCAAGCAAAGCGTTTGCGCGCGTCAGCCCTGCAAATGTCGGACGGAAAACGATGCGCGAGCTTTACACTCTGAAGAGCCATCGTTGGAGCGTTTTACCATTCCCGAACACACACACACTCTCTCTCTACAAGCCCCCTCGACCCTGCGTTACTCGCACACTCTACTCACCGGCTCTTTTCCCCTAACTTCTTGCAACATCTCAGCGCACCATTTACCCGTCTCTCCCGCCTTCAAATGATTGGCACCCACCACCGAAGCATCCTGATAAGCCCTCAATCCTCCTAGCTCCTTTTGTCTCTTCAAAATCTCTTGTTTACGTGCAGGCGAGGTGTTGGGTTGAGACAGTTCCTTTTCCAACGCGTGCCACTGGGCTATGGCCAGACTGTGAGCTGATGCTGCCGCTGATGGTAATGTGGAATTTTGGTGCAAAGAAGAAGAAGAGGAGGAAGAGGCATTGGACTTGCTCTTGATGGATTTCTTGAAAGCGGAAGAGATGGCCGAATTGCGATTCGAATCTTTACCGCTGCTGCTGCTGACGTCTTTTTTGTTGTTGTTCTTGCTTCCTCCCCTCTTTCCACGAGGTCTGATCAGCTTTCCATCCTCATCCCTCCTCACCGCTGCCTTGGGCTTTCCGCTTTTCGCAACAACAGCACCAACACTCTCCGTCGTTGCTTGTCCCACCGGCACCGGCGCAGCACGCGCAGCCTCGGTCGACAGGGGAGCAGAGGTGGATGATGTGCCTGCTACCTCTGACGTATGTTGATGCGGCGCTGCTGCTGCTGCTGCTACAACATCCTCTACAGCTGCCGATTTCTTGTTCTTCGCTCCGCCTCGCTTTCCCCTTGTTCGAGGTCTGATCGCTGCACCAGCAGCATCCGCATCCGCAGATGATGAAGTGCCAATCTGCACACTCCCATTCCCATTCCCATCCTTCACCACCATATCATGAGACATTTTCGCCTCGACCTTTTGAACCGATGTGCCACTGTGGAGCGCACGCCCGCTTCTGTGCACTGCAGGCTTTGTGGGGCTTTGTGCTGGCTGGGGGCACTACGGAGCTTGCGCGAGATGCCAGGGAAGAGAAGAGGCTGGAGAGATGAGATCAGCGAGCTTGTTGGGGGTGCTATGCTATACAGCGTGACACGTGATGATCTCTCTGATGGCTGGCGACTCGATGCCCGATGCTCG